TGATATGCTGGGTCGATCTTCGGGCGCCTGGAAGTGCGCAAACAGTCGCAATACTGTCGGCATTCAACGGTCATTTCCCGAGTAAGAGCAGGCTGCCCCGCAGAACTCTGAGCTGCTGCCGATGCTGCGGGTGCACGAGCGCCCGCCGATGACGAGGCGGCGCCTGCCAATCCTCTGGGCGCCCGAGGAGTCCTTGGCGGGGTACTGATGTCGAGGTTCTGGCGTTTCTTCTCATTGATGTTGTAGTACTCGTATGTCTTGTCTTTGGAAGCTGCCCCTGATGCCTCTGATGTAGTTTCCAATAGTTTCTTGTCGGCACCACGCCTTGTTGAAGAAGCATCCCTTGATGATCCCTCCAGCGTCGGCGTCCAGCCAGTCCGGTGTGTCCGGCCAGGTGTAGGGCCACGACGTGGTACAGGGTCCTTCGGAGTTGGAGTGCCGGTGCCTTGAAATGCAGCTGCTGCGGCGGCGTTGCTGGCCCTCTGGATCGACGTCGATCAGCAGGTTGCCCCGCAGGTCGCTGTTGCCTGCTATCTCCAGGATTGGGATCATCTGGGCTTTTTCCTCTTCTTCTGTCTAGGCGGTGGTCTGAGCTGATCAGGTCCGAGTGACTTAGATTGACTCGACGAAACCGAAGATGGAGAAATTTCAATGGGCGGATCTGTCTTCGGTCTGGGAGGGAGTTCCTTAGCCGTTGCCCCTGCAGGTATCCATGGCCCATATCGCACGGGCCTTCTGCCAGGGTTAAGGTCTACACCATCGGGCTTCCTGAGTGCCACATTACCGATAGTGGCCTTTCCCTTCGCGGTCAGGTGATATTTGGTGGAGCTAAGCCTCCGTTTTATTCTGGTCTTTACCCGGCCTGCAGACCCAGCGCGGTAGACAGCCCATCTTTTCGGATAGATATCAATTTCTTCAGTAACGACGCACCTAGGATCAATAGGGGCGCCCGCTTCGCGCGCGATGTCCGCGCCAGTGGAGAGGGTGTCGGAATAGTCTGAGGCATACCCTGCCGGGGCTGCTTCCGCGGGGCCTACCGCTCCAACCATATGTTCAGCTTCGCCAGCTCCGTGTTGGTCGTCGTCTTCTTCTGATTTGGGCGAAACAGGTTTTTCCCGCATTCCACTCACGATTGAACGCCTTTAAAGAATGAAGAAGTGACAGGTGTTTCCATATCTTGATATATTGGGATAGTTATTCGGCTGTAGCTTGGTCGTAGCCGTTTCCCGTCAACTGCTCCCCCCATGGCGTTGTATTCGGATCGGCGCAGTTACCCCGACCATCACCATGAGACCAAACCCGCGGTTTCTTGCGAAAGTTAAGGCGTCTTGATGGGCGTCTCATGGGGCAGCCAAGCCTGTGTTTGGTATACTCGGGACATGTGCAAGCAACGCCTCTGTAAAGTTTCCGTTCCTCGATGATGGCCCTCCTGAGGTTGCGCTTGATAAGGGCTTCTTGTGATTTGACTGCCCGTCCTGTGTGAGCGAATGACCTTGCCTTCTTGATTTCGATCAACCTTGCGAAGAGAATGCCAGCGACGAATCTGGTGCTCAGTCCAACCCTGGCCCAACCAGCATTGCATTGCATCTGGATCTATGTGCTGACGAGCCGCCCCAGCATCCGAGTAGCCAACAAGGCGCTGTATTTCGTCTTCTGGATATTCTGCATGAGGTTATCCCCCTTGAGGCGGGCGCCCCCGCAGACGCTCCCTCCTCGGGGGGGCGCCAGGTCTATTGGCCTGCCATGGATGGGGCCCTTGGCTTTCCCGCATCAGGAAGGCCGCTAGAGCGGGCGCCGCTGGAGCGCGCCCGCGCGCGGTTGGGCGAGCGACCGCGGGCCCGACCGCGACGTACCAGACGAAAGCCACCCACCCATTCTTCGTCGTCGTCGGCGCGACCCTTGCGTCTCCAAGACCGGCGGCTTGCCGATCGCCCCTGGCGGCAAATGAAGCGGTCCGAAGCTGCGAACGTGCATTGCAATCCGGCGTTGCGACCGAGCCCATACTGAATGCGCTCGGACAGGTCGCTAACATCTCGCGGGTTTCCCCGCAAAGGATCGCCATCACTCAATTCCATGTTTGTCGGTTTTCCAAGAACCCGAGGATAAAGCATCAACTGCATTTCCTCCTCTGTTGCAGGAATAATGGTTTCTGAATCCGCGGGCGCCCCCGCCATCCCGCCATCTCCTTCGGCGGGCATGTGGAAGTTCTCGACGCACTCAATATCCGCATGTTGCCCCGCGATGGGCATGCCCAGCCAGTCTGCCAAATCAAAATCATCGTGGCAAATGAATACCTCCTCGAACAGCTCGTCGGCGCAATTCTCGAGGGACATACTGGCACTTCAAATATCTGGCAGCCATGAAGTTAACAACTGCAGCTGAGCTATCGGCAGGGTCGGCTAAAAGTGACCCCCAGTCAACATACTGCATGTCCGAATCAGTTTGAGCCAGATGCACCGACGGACCTCTGCCTCTCCCATCGCCCTGAGGGCATTCCCGGTGAAAGTGCTGCGTGCTATGGCATATGTCGCACTCCATAGTTTTGCCGTTGGCATCCTTCGGGTTTCCCCGACGTCCCTTACCTTTTCCTGATGTATGCCTAAAATTCCTGCCTGCACCTAAGGATATCTCTTCATATTGTGGCCCGGTAAGGGATGCTAGACATGCTAATATGCCTCTGCCATGCAATCGCCGATGCTTGCCCTTACCCTTACCTCGACCCTTGCCTTTCCCCTTGAGCGCCCGTCGGGCGATGCGCCGTGTCTTGCGAACTGGCTTCTTCATAAATCGCCCCCACCTGCGTTTATGTTTCTGGCGTCCTAAGAATAACCATTGCGCCTGTTGCTCTTCCGCGAAGTGCGTAGGCATATCGGGGTAGTCAAGGGCCGCGGCATCGTCGTCCGAAGACGCGTCGGCGTCAGTACCGGAGTCGAAGTCAGACTCGGCAGGTTGCCCCGCTGAGCCCGGGCGGCCCCCGAAACCTGGCCCAGGAGTCTTGCGACCCCGGTGCCAATCCACCATTCTGAGCCAGCTGTGTAGTGGCCTCAGTTGGTTGTGGATCGTCATTGCAGACGTTATTAGCAGGTTGCCCTGCGTTTGCCACAACATGGACGGTCTCGGTTCGGTGACCGCGGCTGGAAATGCCACCAATATTGCCGGGGGTTCTCTCAGCAATGTGCGCATATGACCTCGCGCGTTCAAGTGGAGCGTCAAACTGTTGCTGGTCTCTCGGCATGCGGCTGTTTAGTGGCTGCAGGAGTTGCGGTGCACGCGATGCCCCCACTCCAGGAGTTCCAAATAAAATAACTGCTAAACTTTGGAAGTTGGAGATGTTAAAGCATGCCGTTTCAGCTTCACAGCGGGCTACCTCGAAGCGCGCCAACGTCTGGTCGATCCGTTCTCCCGCATGGACTCGGAAGTCGATGAGACCTGTACAAGAGTTGAGTTGGCGCTCCTCTTCAAAATTTTCGAACTTCGTGCTCAAGAGGAACATGATGTAGGTGACGGTAACGCGAAAACTGATAACTGCTGGGGAGACTCTCATGCCTATGGTCCTTGCGAGGCCTCCCAAACCTCGCTGCAGGGCTGTCGCTTGTTGGGAAGGCGTCATGTTGCCTGCGGTCACGTCGATCCAAGCATGTACCTGGCGGACGAATTCGCGGAAAGGTACTTGGCCAGCCTGGTCCCACTGGGGGCCGGTCGTTCTTGTGTCGTCTCCGCCACGCATATGTCCTACCGCGCACCCGATAGCGACCCATGTGATCCCAAAGATAGCAATACCAGTCCAATGGCCTCGCAGGTCGTGGTCGGATGTAGTCGGTTGGGGTTTTCGATGTGTGTTCGTAAGTCTGCGTGGGGGTGGAGGCGGTACATCATCGTACCGCATGCTTCCATGCATTATGTCTTCGAAGAAGTTTCCAATTGATGTAGGTGGGTGGACTTCAGGGGTGTGGTAGCGCAAGGACGCAGGACGAAAGTTAAAGGCCTCCGCGTAGGCAAAGGTGTCACTGCAAGTGTCCTTGCTATACTGCGTAATTATATACATTCCTCCGCGCAAACCCACAGCACCCTGATGTTCCACCACGTCTGTAGTCTACCAGATAGTGCCGTGGATGGTGAGGAATAGAGCTAGAGCTGACCACCATAGGCCAGCTCCGCTACCAAGTTTGAAAGGGGTTGGGAGGTTCAACCAACAGCTTCGCATTAGGCGAAGCCCAGCTCCCGCTCTGTTGTACCGCAATAACGATAGTCCAAATAGTAGGGGGCGAGCCATCTCAAGCAGTTTTGGTATCGATGGCAAGTAGGGCACCTCGCGTTGAGGTGTAGTCAGATCTGGGCGGCTGGCCGCTTTGAGCCAAGCAGCCGCGGATGCACGCTCGTTCCCACTCACATGCGACGCCCAGCTCACTTTAGAGTGTGATGCTCTCTTTCTGCGGGAACCCTAAAGCGAAACGCGGGGAGGCTCAGTCCCTTGGCCGCTGAAGGTTGTCACAGGATTGACGCGACCAGACGGCCAAAAGGGCCCAAGAGGCTTCCAGAAGCGCCCGTAGAGGGCCCAAAGGGAGCCCCAAGAACAAAAGACGGCCCAAGTTAACATCAAGGCGGCCCCAAGTAGGCTTCGAAGAACCATAAGAGGACCTCTGTGTGCAAAGTGCTCGATCAGTCGCCTGGTTCCTCCCAAGATGCCCCGAAATAGCTTGAAGACGGCACCCCGAGTCCCCGAGATAGCTACAGGATCGTCCAATGTGGCCCCGAAGCGGCCTCCAGAGGCCCCAAGACGCCAGAAACATCGCCCAATAATGGTCTCACAAGGCAACGAGTTGGCCTTTGGATGCCCCCAGAATCCCAAAGCCGGCCCCCGGAGGGCCCTGGATAGCCCCAGGACTAAGGAATTTGACCCGAACGGTGGCTCCCTGAGGCCCTACGATGCCCAAAGAGGATCCCGGGTGGCCCAGCAGAGGCCCAAGGAAGCTTCAAGGTGGTCCGAATAGATGTCTGGCTAGCTTCGCCGTAGGCGCGAGTGGCTGAGAGCGTCGGATACAAAAGATGCGACGATTCGCTGCGCCTTGAAGTCCTCAAGCGAGGAAGGCGGAGTTGAGCTTCCAAGCCAGAGAGAGGTTGCCATTTGGCCACCTTGAAAAAGATATTGAACTAGCTTGCTGGAAGCACGCTGTGAATCATAGCAGCTTGACCTTCGACGATGGTCACAACGAGATGACCTGCAAAGTGGCACACGGCGGACCACCGCCAGCAGCTACGAAAGACGGAGAGTTGAGTGAGGTAATGGATACTGGCGTCCTCATGAGCGCTTGCGGGGTGCACCGGCCAAGCTGGGGCCTATGGAGATGCTCATGCCACTGCCCGCTGGGATCGCCACTGCGCGAGACGGAGCTGTCCGGGGCCGACGCCGGCCCAGAGGCGCCGCCCCAATTGCCCGGCGCGGGCTGGGACCCGCCGCTGTTGCTGTGACCGACCGTGCGAGCCCAGGAGGGGGCCACGGTGGCTGGCTGCTGTGACTGGAGACCCTTGGCGTGGGCGGCGGGCGCGGCCAGCGGTTGCAGCTGGCGACCGCGGCCGTGATCAGCGGCTGCGGCCTCTGGCTGCCCTTCCGCTGGCGGGTTCCCTTCGTTCATCAGGCTCGGCTCGCCGAAAAAGCCAAAACAAGAAAAGCAAGAAAAGCAAGAAAAACAAATATACGTCATGTAATATTACGAATAAATGGTATATATTTCCGGGGTATTATGAATTATTCGTGAATATTCTAGAAATATGTGAGATAATTATGAACATATGAAAAGAAATAGTAACCGTTTGATTTAATTATGTTGGATACCGCAAGATAAGATCAGTAAGAGTAAGAATACTAATATCACACATACGAGTGATAGTGGTAGTAGTAGTAGTAGTAGTAGCAGCAGCAGTAGTAGTAGTAGTAGTAGTAGTAGTAGTAGTAGTCGTAGTAGTCGTAGTAGTCGTAGTAGTCGTAGTAGTCGTAGTAGTAGTAGTAGTATAGTAGTAGTAGTAGTAGTAGTAGTAGTAGTAGTAGTAGTAGTAGTAGTAGTAGTAGTAGTCGTAGTCGTAGTCGCAGTGAGATTATATTTCTATGAGTAATAGTAATCGTAGTAATCAACAAATAGCCACACATGTACATAAACTATATATATGAGTGCACACACAAATATACTTACACACGTACTAGAACCACGCGCGCGCTTCGCGCGCTTAGGTTCTAGTCGACTCCGACAATGGTGTCCGCAGGCATCGCAAGCATCCCAGGATACGGTGGGACAGGTATCCCAGGCGTACACCGCCTTTCTCTCGCGGGTGCGCGGAGCCTCCTGGGGGGTGCCTCGGGGTCCAGGGCGGTCGCGGGGCCGCCTGAGAGCGCCATGGGACGCACCGGAGGGCCCTTGGGAACCATCTGGGGGGGGGTCTGGGGGGCCTCTTGGGAGCCTTTTGGGGGTTGTCTGGCGGTGTCGTCGTCCTTGGGGCGTTTCTTGGGGGTCTCCTGGGGCCTTTTTGTACTCTCTTGGGGGTCTCTTGAGCCGTCCGTCTCGAAATTGTTTTGGGCCGTGTTGGGGCTCTCTTGGGGGCTTCTTGAACCGTCATGGGGTGATCTTGACAGTTTCTTTTCCTGTCTAGGGCAGCTGGGAGCCAGGAACAGCAAGAACGCATCAACATATAAAACACTCGAACACGAGCTCCTTCCTAGGGGGTCCTCTCGGGGCGTCGGGGAGGCTTCTGGAACCTTGGGCCGTCTTCGCGCGGATTGGAACCTGCCCAGGGCGCCCCAAATGCATTCTTGGGCTGTCTTGGGCTGGTCTGGAGGGCGTCTGGAGCCGATCGGGCGCGCTCGGAGCCTCTGGGGTGGCCCCCATGTCAACCCGTTGTCCCCGTCCGGGCATTCGCCTCCTATTCGTCGTCCTCCTCCTTCTCCTCCTCCTCGTGCTCCTCCTGACCCTCCCGTTCCTGCTCCTGCTTCTCTCCTCCTCCTCCTCCTCCCCTCCTCCTCCTCCTCCTCCTCCTCCTCCTCCTCCTCCTCCTCCTCCTCCTCCTCCTCCTCCTCCCCCCCTCCTCATCCTCCTCCTCCTCCTCCTCCTCCCCTCCTCCTCTCCCTCTTCCTCCCTCCCGTCCGATTCCGTCTCTCCGCCCGTCTCCCTCGGGGAGCGCCGCGGCGTGCGCGGCGGGCAGCGCCTGTCGCCCCCTCCTCCTCCGCCTCCTCCTCATCCTCCTACTCCTTGCCCTCCTGTTCCTCGACCTCGCCCTCGTCTTCGTCCTCGTCCTCCCGGTGGTCTGGGGGGTGGAAGCATAAGAAATCATGTTCCCGAAAAGCTTTCTGGGGAAATGATGTTGGGATGTCTCGGGGGGCATCTGATGGCTTCCCTTGGGGGACCCTTGGGGACCTCCTGGGACTTCCTGGGGGGGCTCATCCTCATCGTCGTCATCGTCATCGTCATCGTCGTTGTCGTCGTCGTCGTCGTCGTCATCATCATCATCATCATCATCATCATCATCATCATCATCATCATCATCACCATCATCATCACCATCATATTCACCATCATCATCATCATCGTCGTCATCATCATCAGCAGTAGCAGCAGCCGCATCAGCATCGCATGGGCCGCCGCAGAGGCGTTTCCGAGCGTGGCGGCAGGTAGCGGTGCGTGGGACTCTCTGAGGGTGGTTCCTGGTAGGCGTTTAGGAATCATGATTTGGGCGGGGGGCGGCGGCTAGCGCAATCATGTTCCGGGAAAGCTTGCTGGGAACATGATTTGTTAGGCTATATTGTGGGGCCTCTAGGAACAGACCTGAGGGCCCATTCGGTTCCTGCTTGGCAGGCATTTTGGGGACAGATGGTGTGGGCGGGGAGCGGAAGCCTGAGGAATCATGCTCCTGGCAAGCTTTCTGGGAACATGATTTGTCGGGCTGTCTTGGGGGGCCTCTGGGCGCGTATATGAGGGCCCATTGGGGGGCTGCCCCGCAGGCATTTTGGGACTCATGGTTGGGGCGGAAGCCTGAGGAATGATGTTTCCGGGAGGCTTCCTGGAAACATGATTTGTTGGGGTGTCTTTGGGGGCCTCCGAGGGCTTCGGGGCCTCACGCATTTTCCGAGCGTGGCGGCAGCTAGCGCTGCTTGGGACTCTCGGAGGGTTTTCCTGGCAAGCGAGGGAACATAATTTGGGCGGAGGGCGGCAACTCGATAAATCATATTCCCGGGAAGCTTTCCGGGAACATGATTTGTTGGGCTGTCTTGGGGGCCTCAGGGGGCGTATCTGGGGACCCACTGGGGCCTTCCCGGCAGGTATTTGAGGAACATGGATGGGGCGACCATATTCCGGGAAAGCTTTCTGGGGACATGATATGTTGGCTGAGGGCTTACCTGGGGGCTTACCTGGGGGCCCCTGGAGGCCTTCCTGGCAGGCCGTTTGGGAACATGGTTGGGGCGGTGGGCGGAAGCCGAAGGAATCATGTTCCCAGAAAGCTTTCTGGGAACCTGATTTACTGGGGGGTCTTGGAGGCCCGCTGGGGCCTTCCCTTGGGGCTCCTTCGGGGCCTATTGGGGGCTTCCGGGGGCCTCTTGGGAGCCTCACGGGGTTTCTTGGGAACCTCTTGATGGCCTCCAGGGCCTTCCTGGGGGCCTCTAAGGCGCGCGCGCGCCGGAGACCTTGAAATGTCGCGTTCTTGGGGCCCTCTTGGGTCGCTCTTGGGGCCTTCTTGGGGCGCTCTTGGGGCCCTCTTGGGTTGTCTGGGGAGCCTCCTGGGCCGTCTCGGGGCCCTTTTGGGAGCCTTTTCGGCCGTCTTGGAGCGATCTCCGTGGGGAAGCGGAACATGCGGGAATGCACAAGTCCTTCAAAAACCAACGGAACATTTATGATTTTTGGCTTCTGGGGCCTTTTTGGGGAGCCGCTTGAGGCCCTCTTGGGGCGGTTTGGCGGCGTCGTCGGCCGTCTTGAGGCCATATTGGGCGTCTTCGGGGCCTCTTGCGGGCCCAATTTAAAGCCAAACGCCCTCCAAGGAGCAAGAAGAGAGGATGCCCATGGGCGCCCCCGCCGAGGAGGCCTGCGAGGGCCAAAATGGGCCCGTGGGGGCTCGATGAGGGCCCCTGGGACCCCGCGACGGCTATTTCCAGCGGGCGGGGGTCTTCCCGAAACCATCGTGAATATCAAAATATATCCAAATATATCCAAACATATACAAATATATCTGCACATATATATATATATATATATATATATATATATATATGCGGGACCCTTGCGGGACCCTTGCGGGACCCTCCCTATTTTTTGTTTTTTTCAAAGAGTATCAGGGAATTTAATTATCGGGCCCTCCTGCGGGACCCTTGCGGGACCCTTGCGGGACCCTGTGCTGCATTTATTGCAGATAATTACTTGAGATACATGCTGCGGGACCCTTGCGGGACCCTCCCTATTTATTGTTTTTTTTTTTTTTAAAAAAAAAAAAAGAATATCAGAGAATTTACTTATCGGGCCCTCCTGCGGGACCCTTGCGGGACCCTCTGTGTACGCGGCGCAGCCCTGGCCCTCGCGAGCCCGCGGGCCCAGGAGGCTAGTTGCAGCCTCTATGCAAAATTCTCTAGCTTGGGGCCCTATTGGGCCGTCTTGGGGTCCTCGTGAGGGACTCTTAGGCCGTCCTGGGACAGCTTAGAAGCCTCTTGGGCCGCTTCGGGCCCCATGGGGGCCCCCCGAGGGGTTTTGGGGGGGTCCCAGAGCTCCCGAGACTGCCCCGGCCCGCTCCCAAACGGGCCACGACAGGCCAAGAGGGCCCAGCGAAACTGTCGCCACGTTCGTGGGCTCCTGGGAGGCCCAACTAAGTGGCATCATACGCAGACAAAAAGAATGAGGCCTCGCCGTCCCTGGGGGCCGCGAACTGCGAAAATGTCGCTACTTTCGTGGACTCCGGGGGAACCCAACAGAGTGACTTCATACGCGAATTCGAATGAAGCCTGGCCCTCCCTGAGGGCCGTGAACTGCGAAACTGTCGCCACGTTTGTGGGCCCTGGGGAGTCCAGCGGGGTGGCGTGATACGCGAACCAGAATAATGAGGCCTCGCTGGCCCTGGGGGGCTGCGAAATGCAAAATTGTCGCCACCTTCGTGGGCTGCTGGCGGGTCCAGCGCGGTGACATGATCCGCAAATCAGAATGAGGCGTCGCCGTCCCTGAGGGCTGCGAACAGCGAAACTGTTGCCACGTCCGGGGGCTCTTGGGAGGCCCAGCGGAGTGGTGTCATATGCAGGCCAGATAGAAACGTCCCCGCTCCCGGTGGCTGCGAACTGCGAAACTGTCGCTGGTTTCGGTGGTTCCTCGGAGGCCCAGCAACATGGTGCCACACGCAGATCAGAATGAGGCCTCGCCGTCCCTGGGGGCCGCGAACTGCGAAACCGTCGCCATTTTCGTGGGCCCCCGGTGGGTCCAGCGGAGTGGTGCCATTCGCATATCGTCAGGAGGCCTCGCCAGCTGTCGCCACTTTCGTGGGCTCCTGGAAACCCAGCGGAATGATGCCACGCCCAGATCAGAATGAGGTCTCGCCGTCCCTGAAAGGGCCGCGAACGGCGAAACTGTCGCCACGTTCGTGCGCCTCTGGGAGGTCCAGCGGAGTGACGTCATACGCAGATCAGAATGAGTCCTCGCTGTCCCTGGGGACTGCGAAATGCGAATGTGTCGCCACGTCCGGGGGCTCCTGGCGGGTCCAGCGGAGTGACATGATCCGCAGATCAGAAAAAGGCGTCGCCGTCACTGGGGGCTGCGAACAGCGAAACTGTTCCCGATTCCATTGGCTCCTGCGACATATCATAATGAGACCTCGCAGTCCGTGGGGGCTGCGAGCAGCGAGACGGTCGCCACTTTCGGTGGTGGCTGGCGGATCCAGCGGGGTGGCGTGATACGCGAATCCGAATGAGACCTCGCCGGCCCTGGGGGCTGCGATGTGCAAAGCTGTCGCCACGTTCGTGGGCTGCTGGCGGGTCCAGCGGAGTGACATGATCCGCAGATCAGAAAAAGGCGTCGCCGTCACTGGGGGCTGCGAACAGCGAAACTGTTGCCACGTCCGGGGGCTCCTGGGAGGCCCAGCGGAGTGGTGTCATACGCAAATCAGAATGAGACGTCGCCGTCCCTGGGGGCTGCGAACTGCCAAACTGTCGCTACGTTCGTGGCCCCCTCGTCATCGCTCCTTTGAGATCGTGGTCGCGTTCTTGCCGGCGATATGAATCGCACGAGTCATGGAGAACGTTTGTCTGCGGCCCCACGTTCTTTGGCGAAGCGTTCAAGGATACTGCGAATCCTTCAAGGCGTAAGTTTGAAATGAGCGGTCCTCGGTATAGTCGCCTCATGTGTACAACGGGTTGGGTGCGTCCCCTGGTCAATTGCTTTTGGAGGGTCTTATGGGACCCCCAGGGAAGCGATCCTCGGGCGTTTCTGGGACCTGTTGGGCCTTGATGGGGGCACCTTGAGCTCGAAGACAGCCCCAGAGCGCGTCAGGAAGGCCAGTATTCGCCTCTCCTCTCTGGAAGCTTCGGGATCGCCAGGAGTGCCTCAGAGCGTCTGGGGAAGGGGCTCTTGGGAGCTTTGTGGGGCTTAGTGAGGGCCTCTTGGGAGCCTCTTCGGGCATCTTGTGGCCTCCTGGGGACCTCTTGGGGCGGAGAGCTTGAAATGTCCGTTCGGGTACCCCCTCTGGGCTCCTTCTTGGGGCCGTCCTGGGGCCCTTCTGGGCCGTCTGGGAGGCCTCTTGAGCCGTCTTGGGGCTCTCTGGGGCCATCTTGGGGCCGTCTCGGGGGCCCATTGAGCCGTCTTGGGGCGATGGTGGGGGCCTCTTGGGCCGTCTTGGAGCGTCGGGCAGCCGAAATGGTGAGAACCCAGAAAAAACTCCCAAACCCACGGACAAATCCATGTATTTTGCCTCTTGGGGCCCTCTTGGGAAGCCTCTTGGAAGTCTCCTGGGGCGTCTTGGAAACCGCTTGGGCTCTCTTGGCATCATCATGGGCGTCTTGGACCGATGTCTGGGCGTCTCGGGGGTCTCTTGGACTTACTTGGGGGCGTTCTGGGGCCGTCTCGAAGCCGTCTAGGTCCGTTTTGGGGCAGTCAGGAAGGCGCTGGGGGCCCTGGTCCTCCCATGCGCCGCCGTGGTCCTTGGGTGCGGCCAGGGGGCCTCGTTATGTATGTATGTGTGTAAGGATGTATGCATGCATGCATGCATGTATGTATGTATGTATGCATGTATGTTTGTATTCATACATGTATACAGTGCACACCTATATGTGTGAATGTACTACACGCTGTACGATTCTTTCTACTACTGCTACGACTACCCGACTTAACAGTATTCAAAACACTTAATTCACAACGCTACTAATTACCAAGATCAGTTCATAATTACGACCTCAATAATCCACAACAGGTAGAACATAACCAAATATGTTTATGATAATTATCACATGTCCACCACTTATGCGCAATATTCCTTGCCATATATTTGTATTGATTGCTTTTCTTGCTTTTCTTGTTTTTGAATTGTTTGCTTTTCTTGCTCGCGGAAGGCCTGATGAACGAAGGGAACCAGCCAGCCCTTCCGCCAGTGCGAGGCCCTGGCCCTGGCCGCAGTGGCCGGCTGCAGCGGCCAGCACGCCGGCACGCCAGTCGTCCGCCTCAGCGGGGGGGTCCTCCTCGGCGCTGCGGGCGTGCGGAGCATGCTGCGGCCTGACGTATCTGTGGGCCGCCTCAGCGCCCACGATGGACGTCGAGCGCGTCTCGTCATGTGCGGGCACGTTCAGCTGCAGCAGCTGGTCAGAGCCGGTCAGGCCCAGGTCGTGCAGCGGCCTGACGGTCAGGCCCAGGCGGTGCAGCGGCCGGACGAAGGGCAGCACTTCAGGATCCCGCACGTGGCGCGAGTGCCCTCGGTGCCACATGACGACGTTGTTCGCCAGCCCTTGCGTCTCGGCGGGTGAAAACCTCAGCGTACCCCAGGCTTCCTTCCGCACTGTGAGCATCCTCGCGATGAACCTCTGGGCGACCTCTCGGCTGAAAAGGTTGATAAATGCATACCCTTTGCTCTGGTGCGTCCTCAGACAGCGAGGCAGGTACAGGTAGTCGTAGGCCTCGCCAAATCCCATCTCGCTGATGAAGCGCCTCAAGCCCAGCATGGTGAGATCCAACGGCAGACCACGGATGCTGGAGGCTTGGAACTGGACGCCAACACCAGCACAGGGGGGTGCCTCCGACGGGGGAAGATGATCCGAGCTTTCGGTGCTGGTGGAAAATCGGTCACCCAGAAGCCCGAATATCACCACCATCGCCGAGATTGAGATCATCCTCCCTCGGTGGAGGCGCACCGCCGATGTTGGTGTTGGTGTCAACCTCTGGGCCTCCGAGGATGGCAAGAGTGAATTCCGTGCTGCTGGACATGCTGCTGGCCCAGTCCCTGATGCGCTGCGTCCTGCTGGCCAAGCTCACGGCCATTGGAACGAGCTGGACCACCGCCTCTGTCGCTGTGGGGCGGCGAGAGCGAAGACAGCTATGGAGAGGGGCGGGGGGCCGCCAGCGAGGCGCTGTGGAGGGGCGGGGGACCGGCAAGAGTGACCACGGGGGTGGGCCAGACACAGGCTCAGGGCCAGGCACCGATGCCGACGCCCCTCGCGGACACCATCCCGACTCCTTGCCCGAGGCGCACACAGCCGTGGCGACGGGGAGGGGGCCGAGCATACTAAAAGACGGCAGCATCATCCAGAGGAGGACGAGGAGGAAGTCAAATGGGGGGGAAGAGGGGGGAATCCAGAGACGGCTGCCGCCGCCGACGAGATCACGGGAACGGGAGCGCGCCAGACTGGGAAGACACACCCACGGCCCCGTGCGCAAGCCGGCCCAGAGGCAGGCAGCAGAGCGGTCGACTCTAAGGTCAATGCCGAGACGGCCCAGGGATCCGCTCCGGGCGGCAGGGCGCGGCAGGCCCCAGACATCCGCTGGATCGATGCTGTCAGCCGGCAGGCGCCAAAGGGACTCGACCCCTTCCCCACAGGGCTGGCCAAACGGTGTTCTGCGCTTCGTTCTCCGAGGTGTCTTCCGATCTGTCCTTCCCGTTCCCCTTGGGCCTCTCTGCCAGACCGAAGAGCAAAAAACGAGGCCCGAAATCCAGCCAAACAACGCGCAAGTCCAGCCATGCTTCCCCACCAGGAGCCTGCCCTACCAGAGCAACACTCTGAGGGCCCCGGGGGCCGAAGACAGGCCGGGAGAAAGCCCCTCAGAGGCCAAGGCCTGAGAGAGAGCGCCGGGGATCGTAAGAGAAGCACATCCGCAGGACTTCTCCAGGGCGGCGGGCAGAAACCGAAAAGCCCACAAGAGGTGCATCTGATGGGCCCATAGGCAGAATGGGGGACAAGGGAGGATGGGGAGGTCCTCCTCCTCCTCCTCCTCCTCCTCCTCCTCCTCCTCCTCCTCCTCCTCCTGCGCGGCTTGACCAGCAGCACGCCCTTGAAGGTCACCCAGGTCATGTTTTTTGGAGTGCCTCGATGCCTGACGCGGGTCTGCGCTCGCAGAGGGCCTCGGATTGCAGTGGACACATGGTCCCAGGGTTTCGCTCGCTCGCTCGTCCTCGTCCTCCTCCTCGTCATCGTCCTCCTTCTCGTCATCGTCCTCGTCCTCCTCCTACTCGTCCTCCTCCTCGTCCTCCTCCTCCTCCTCCTCCTCTTCCTCTTCCTCCGCCTCCTCTTCCTCTTCCTGCCTATGGTAGTGGCAGTGGAGAATCGACCCAACAAGGGATGGGGTTCGACTGCAGCAAGACCCTCGACCCAACGCCGCGGAACGGTGGGCCCTCGGACCCAGGTCCCGAGTCGCCCCCCCGCTAGCGACGTGGGGTCGGGAGCGAACCCAGTGGCTCTTGACAAATTGGAGGACGAGGGCCCAGACTTCCTCGCATAATGAGAAAAATCGAGACGGGCGTTTTTTTGCAATTGTCCGTTTCCCGGGGCCCCAGGACGGTCCAAAACAAATCAGGATGAAAGGCTGAACCTAGGGAAGGAGTTGAGACCTCTGGGGGTCCACATTGTGATAAGATCACGACGTCTGGGGCTGGGGAGGAGGAGAGGGGTTTGTTATTTCTGTTGCAGCAGGGATCCTCTAAATTTGCAGCTCCAGGAGCACTGAGAGCTTATAGCATCTTAGAATGGTGCGAGCAATCAAGCAGCCAGCAAACATGGCAGGAAAAGGAGGAGGACGAGGAGAAGGAGGAGGAGGAGGAGGAGGAGGAGGAGAAGGAAGAGGCGGCAGAGGTCGAGGCCGAGGCCGAGGAGGTGAAAGTGAGGGAAGGGATTTTTAATTAGTTGGCCTCGCGACAGGGCCCAGAGCAGGCCCATAAGCTATGAGGGCCCGGATTCTGAGCAACGCTCCGACGCCGCCGCGAACCTTCGCAGCGGAGTTTTTCTTCCTCCGCCACCTGCGGAGTTCGCCCACCAGCTCCTCAGGTGCCCGGTCCACGACATCGAGCCCCGTCAGCGGCCCCACCGACTACGCACCTCTACCTCGAGTTCCAAGCTTCGCCGACGCAGGATGAGCTTGGTGCGCCGGGCTCTCTGCAGCCTGCCGCTGCTGCTAGTGTCCATGCCAGCGTGGGGTCTACCATGGCTCTGCAGTACGGTGTTCGCGCACTTGCTGCACGGCTTCGTCGGCCAGTCAGTGTCGGCTCCCAAGCAGGCGCCAGCGGTGCTGCTCGCAGCGCGCGTGACTTCCACCCCCTTGGACCTTGGACGTGCTCTGCCTCGGAGCCGCCATCATTGGCGGCCCCCGTCAGCGATGCTTGGCCGACAGTGCTCCGTCGGCCTGGCCGCCGAGTTTCACGCCAGCAGGGCCCTCAGTGCCCCAGCCTTCCCGGCAGGCTCGGGGAACGCAGGAGCGTTCGGCACGTGCCATTGGAAGATAAACAGGTGCACGTGCACCAGGGGCTCCACGAGCCGGCCGGGGCCTCCAGAGCGCGACTCGCCTCGACGACTTGCGCCGGCGCCTCCGACGCCTGGAAGGCGAGTTCATCGAGCGCGGGCCCTGCGCAGAGGGAGAATGAGGCCGAGGTGTCGATCAGGAACACCTTTGTGGAAGTCGGCGCTCGCGCTTCGCCGGCCCGCCGCGCGCTCAGGCGCAACCGCGCCGAGGGGGACGCGCCCAGCGATGACCCCCTCCTCCACGAGTGCGTCGCCAGCATGCGCCTCGACGACGCGGACGCCATGGGCGAGGACGCCGGCATGCCGCTCGCCGAGCGTCGCCGGCGAGCAACGCTGGAGGAAGCTGATGGGGGCCCCGGGCAAGCTGCGGAGCTGGCCGCTGCTGCCCTGCCGCCGCCAGCTGCGCCGCCGCCGCCGCTGCGAGCCCCCGCCGCGCACCGCCCTGCTGCCCAACGGTGGGCCCGCGTCTACTGCCGGGTGCTCGGTTGCCCGCGCGCCGATCCTGCCGCGTCGGCGGGGTGGGCCAGCCCGGAGAGCACGCGGGTCCACTTGAACGAGCTCGCGGCAGGGCGCTTCCCCAACCTGCCCCCCGTCCCGCAAGCATCCCTGGACCAGCACGCCTTGGGACAATGCTCGGTGCGTCAACGGTTCCTGACCCTCCGCTTCCAGGGGGGGCGCCCCCGGTGCCGGCCAGCAGCGCGCGCGGCGGCCGCGGCAGTTGCCCCGGCCCCAGGCACTGGCGACGCGGCCGGCCACCCTGGACCCCCATCGCTGCGGGCGGTCTTCTCCAGCCGCGCCGGTCCGAGGCGCCGCGCCCCCATGGCTTGCAAGGGGGGCCAGGGCGTTGTGGGCACAGTGATTGGCGCAGGCCGCGGCGTTAGCGGTCCACCACAACACCGAAGCAGCTTGGGCCCAGCTGGCCACGCTGCTCAAGCGCGCTGCGTCCGCACAGCCGCGGAGGCCGAGGCAGCGAAAACGCCAGCGAGCAGGAGACCAAGAACTCAGAGCGCCAGATGCTCTGGGCAGAAACAACGGAGCGGCGCCAGACAGGGGGGCGGACAAAACGACTCACCGAGAACAGCGCTGCCTCGACTTGGCTTCGGAGGGGCTCTACTCGAAAAGCTGCGCTTCGCGGGCGTCGGAGCCGCCTGCGTCCGTCACGCAGGCCGTCGTGGACCGAATGGGCCGCAAACACCCCCGCAGCCAGCATCCAGTCGTGGACCTGGCCAGCCTGCCTGCTGTCCACGCGGCCTACGCCGTCCAGGTCGACGTTTCTGCCGTCAAAAAGGAAGCGCGGGCGTTTTCCCAAGGGCTCAGCCGCCGGCCCCACTGGCCTGCGCCCCCGACACCTGCATGCGCCCTGGCGACGGCAGCCTACAGGGACGAGGTCATCGAGCAGCTCGCTGGTCTCGTTGACGTGCTCGTGCGCGGCCAGGCCTTACTTTCCTGGTGCTTCGCTGGTGGTTCTCCCGAAAAGCGACAGGCCTCCGCCCTGTGGCCGTCGGCTAAACACTCCGCCGCCTAATGGACAAATGCCTCTGGAAGGAGGTCGCCGAGGCTGCCCGCGACCGCCTGGCGCCCCTCCAGGTAGGCGCGGCCGCCCCACGAGGCGCGGAGGCGGCGATCCACGCGGCCAGGCAGCGGTTCACGCGCAACCGGGGCGACAGTGAAGTTGGACGGGCAAGGTCTTCCTGAAGTTGGACCTCTCGAAGCTTTCAACACCCTGGACCGGAATGCCGTCCTCAGAACAGTGCGCGAGGATTTTCCGCGCTGGCACCCTGGGCGGGCTGGTGCTGCGGCAGCCCCTCGCTACTCTCCCTCGGCAAACAGACGCTGCGCTCCGAGTGCGGAGGCGACCCGCTTGGCCCGCCGCTCTTCTCTGGCACTCCAACGCTGCGCGGAGACGGCGCGCCGCAGCCTCAAGGAGCTCGCGCAAGACGCCGGCCTGGACCTCGTCTTGGAAGAAGGCAGCGGAACTCCTGGAAGCGCTGGCCGGCTTGGATGACGCGAAGGTAGCTGTTCATCTTCTCCGGCAGTGCGCTTCCCTCTGCAATCTCGGCTAATCGGCGCGCGCGGTGCCGCCCCCCACCAACACCGAGGCCCTCCTGGAGATGAGCGCCGCAGTGCGCTCCTGCCTGGAACAGCTGGCCTGCGCTTCCCTCGCCGGCGACGCCTGGGCCCAAGCGCAGCTGAAACTGATCAAAGGCGGCTCGAGGCTGCGCCCCGCCGAGAAGCTCTCGCCGGCGGCCAAACTCTCCTCGCGCGCCAAGAGCAGCGAGTTCTGCCGGTCCAAGTGCGCGGGCTACACAGACGACGACGCGGGCGACGCCGGGTCCCTGACCGCGACGCTCCAGACCCACAGCGCCAGCGCGGCGAAGGCTGACCCGACCGCTCGCTTCGACTGCAAGACACACTCCAACAAGTCTCGGACCAGGTCGACGACGCTGCGCGCGCCGCCCTCTGGGGCCGCTCCTCGCCCGCGACGCGCGCCCACCTCGCCCTGGTGGCCTCGCCTGGCGCCAGCGCGCACCTGCAGGCACCCCCCAGCGAGGCGTTCGGCACAGCGGTCCCGTACAGCCTGATGCAGATCGAAACCATCCGACG